GAATCATGGTCCTCTTTTCTTTTCTATTTTTTAAATCCAGATCATACTCTGGTTTGTTGCACACCGCTAAATGAAATGTTCATGTTTTCATTCAAATAGATTATTTGGACTGCTATACATAAACTGATTTCCTTCTTATGTCCTAAATTTTAATTGTTCCAGTACTGATTGTATCTCATTGGATGCTCGGACCAGTATGTACTGTTACCAGCAGATACAAGTACTATTCCCTTTTCATTTATGTTATCTAGTTTGACTGAGCATGAAATCTTGGGAAACCTTGAATATTTCATTATCTGTTGAAGTTATTTGGAGATGCCTCTTTCAAAAAGTCGGATTGTGTGATAACTGAGGTTTCAGATAGGCAGCTTCATATCAAAGGTTGAAACGGTTGTGTAGTGCTTCACTTTCCTCTACCCTGCTTTCCAGACAAACTATTAAGAGTTAATATATGTAAAAGTATCACAATAGAAGTTGAAGCTACAGTACTGATATGAAGATTGGGATTAACTAGTTGAATTGTGACGCAGAGCAGTGTAGGTCACTGATCACGAGGTCCTTTTCTACTTGATGTCATTTTATTGCTTTAATGGTGATAAGTAGCTGACTTCTCATTTTGCTTTCCTGTTATCTCTTGGATCACTTTTCAGCTTTTCTTTGACTGGGTTACTTGCTTATACGGCAGTTGTAATTTATTACAACTTCTTATTTTGATGGTGTTGCAATGTATGTTTGTATTTTAAAAAAACTTTTAATTGTTTTAGGACAAGGGAGTAGAGTTGTTACCAGATATCATACAACAACAAATAAGGACAGGGAAGTTGCCTGAAGTGGTTGTTACTTGCAATGACACAGTCAACATCTCTGAGAGGTCCAATGCTGTAGCCCAAGAACCTATCATGACCAGTTTATTGGCTAATCCTCCCAGCGATTCTAGCCTCATTCAGCGAGTTGATGTTGTTAAACCTTCTGTTCTTGACGCTCCATCTGTACTTGGGGGATCATTAAATCTGTCGAGCTTTAAAGTTGGGCGTTATAGTTCTCCCAGTTCCCCAGCTTTTTTTAATGATGCTGGAGTATTGAAACCTGAAAGTATCCTTGGGAAAAAATTGAAATTTGATGAGATTTCGACCCCTGCAAGTCGTCGTGTTAATCCTCCTGCTCCTGTAATGAAGATCACCAGGAATTCGTCCATGGAACCTTCTATTAGCCGTCTTCGCAATTCTCAAATATATAGAGTTTCGCCTGAGAAGTCTCAGAATGGGTTTCCAAAGGAATCTTATATTTTTGACCAGACTGCTGCTAACAATGTAAATTCTCTTAGTAGCAACAGAGGCATATTAAAACATTCAGTTGAAGATTCAGACATGAGTTATCATGGTAAACGTCTACTGTCAGATGCTGCTGATAGATCACGGATGTTACCATTAAATGATTCAATGGATGTAACCTGGAGGTAAACCTTATTTTTCAAATCTCTTCTGTTTTAGGCAGCAGATTTAATTGTCATACGTTTGGTTGCCATCTTAACTTTGATCTAATTTTGTTGTTATTACCTGATTGTCACTTAAAAAGCCATGAAGAAAAGGGTCCTTCCACCGTGCATCTAGAAACCAATGGCGGACCAAGGTGGAGGTCTGATGATACCAGTGAAGACGAGGAAATCCCCTCACTAGATGTATTCGCTGGAGTTGTCTCTCCTGCACACACTTCAAGGGGAGTGAGAAGAAGCAGGAGGATTGCCAGGAGATGATACCCCTTGCTGTTATAGAATCTGAAAATGTGACAAAACATGTAATCCCTTTTGCTGGATGTGGCTTTTAGTTAACAGACCAGAGTTGGGAGGCATTGAAGTTTTTTAAATAACATTTGCTGCTCGAATTTTTCCTCTTGGAAATAGTAAACTCGGGTTGAAACTGATACTTGACGCTCCACACCTCGATGTTTCCTCTTTCAACCCTTGCACTGATTTTCACTTGGATGCAGCACATAGTTTCAAGGAGCAGCTGATGGTCGGGGTTTAACAATTTTTGTATGTGAGATGAGCGATTTGAAGCTTGGTTGTAAAAATATTTATTGTAACCTTTTCAAGTCGTGCCCATATTGCTGAAACTTTTCTTTGAAAAGCATGTAGATAGATGCGTAAAGAGACCTTGATATTTTTGTTTCCAATTTCATTTCCAAGCAGGTGAGGTTTTTATCCACAAGGAGAAATAATTCATTTTGAATCTCAAAAGTTGTAGTCTAACATCGAGTAGTTCTTTTTAACTGAAGGAGAGGTTTACCATTTTATTCTCATTTTTTTTTAGAGAGCCTAAACTGTCTGGGTGAACATAGAAGAACTGAAACGTGATAAGTTTCACAAGCGATATTTCACATTGATGGTGGGAGTTTAGTTAGCCAACCAACTGAGTTACTAAGATTGTATGTAATTATCCTCTTTCCATAAAAAAACAGATTAGATCAACTGGAATTCTTCATTTCAATGACAAGGTCAAATACATATATATGATATGAAAATCATCATTTTCATACCAGCCAGATCTCTCTGATCATAAAACAGAAACAATGAGTATAGATAGTATTATCACGTTCGAATAATAACTGACTTCACAATTAGATACTTATAAATATTTTAATACATATATGAGATATGAGCAAAAACCGCTATATTCCTATGTATCAGTAGCTAACATTCTGGATCTGCCTCGCCAACCACCTCCTCCATATAGTGCTCTAACCCCACATGAGTCCATAAAATGGCTACAATCACTGCAGTATCTGCGAACAAAATGTAGTAATAATGAGTGCTACTGGTTCTGAAAAATCAAAATTCTCCATCGACCTCGCCACTCATTTCTTTCCTTCAAAAGTCATTAACTCCGATAAAATCCAAGTTTCCAAATGCCTTAACATTACCAACTCATCACCATTTACTCGATGAGTAATATTAAAGCCTTTGGAAACTTAGATCTTATCGGAGTTAATAATTTCCAAAGAAAAAAATGAGGGACGAGGTCGATTGAGAATTTTGATTTTTAAGAACCAGTAGCACTCATTATGACCACATTTTATTCTTGACTTCTACAGTAATTGTGGCCATGTTACAGACCTATGTGAAGCTTGAAAGAAATTAGAGAGTTTTGTAATTGTATAAATGGAGAAGATATCCATTAGTTGTTTGATTGAAATGATAATTTAACAAAGGGAAAATTTGGGTTGTGAAGGAAGAAGAGTAATGGGAGGATTTTATAGTACTCAAATAATCGCTATTGCTTCCTTCTTCAACACAATAGTGGGTCCTCATTTTTAACTAACATGCCACTAGGGGTCCTCTTTTTGACAAACATGTCACTAGGGGGTCCTCTTTCTAACATGTCATGTGTATTTGTTTTTGGCATAATAAATAAACGTATCTTTTAAATTAGTGTCAACTGGTATCTATATTATTGTTCATAAGTATACCTTGATACTAATTCTGCTTAAAGAATATTCTATATTGTTTCATAATGTATAGTATTGTATTATACTATATCGTAATGTAAATAAATATTTCACACCAATAATTTGAATGACAAATCTACAAGAAAAATAAGCTACAAGCTAGAGCTATTATGAAAATGTAAGATAGAGAATAAAATATGATTATTATTAAATAATAAATAAAAACAAAATGAAAAGGAAATATTGAAATAACAACTGGATCACACCAAATCAATAGTTACAAAAAAAAATGGAACTTTTTGATATGACCTGACAATAGATTTTCTTCTCAACTAATAATCGTGATTAAAAGAATTGTCCAACTTTTGACCATTTATATAAGTTGTTTACTTGATAGGAGGCAATTATATCAATTATTATCCCTAACGGGTCGGATTCCACTGAGATTGGTGACTTTCTAGAAGTCTTCGTTTTATTCTTTAATAATTTTTTCCTTTTTTTTTTTTGAGGGTCTCCAACCTTTCGACCCTTCGTGACTAGGATCCTCAATATTTGTGTATTAATGGTATTAATCATATGTTCATATTGGATATCTATCTTAATTTTTAGGTATTTACGTTTTCATTTCAAATGTACTTATCTATTTAAAGCCCTTATTTAAATCAAGTGTTTATTATGTCAAATTACTTCAATTTACTATGATTAATAATTTAACATAGCAAAAATATGTATTAATTAATCATAATTATTTAAATAACATATGTGCTTGGTAGTAGTCAATATATACATGTCATACATATATTTATTTAATGTGAGCACATATCTAATGCATCGGACATTTAATTTGAACTTTTTATTTAGTCATTGTTATCCTATAACATTTCTTTTAAGTCCGTTCATTATTATATTGTAACACTCCAGTTAATTAGGTTCTGATTATCTTTAACCAAAATAACCACGACTATATAGTATATATAAATATAAAATAATCAATAGTTTAATATTTTTTTATTGTCCACTTGTGTATTCTTTAATCTTACTTTTTTTCATTTTCTATGGAGCTATTATAGTTTATTGGTTCAATTACTTCGATGATTTAGCGTCAACTTTGAAGTATGCTCTCATTTGGTTCATAAACTAAATTATTTCATCTCAAAGATGGATAAAATGAGGAATTTTTCGCAAATAGCCACTATAATAAACTTAATTATGTTTCATAGCTATAGTTTGCATATTTACGAGTTATAGTTACAGTTTAAGCTGTCTCGTTTGTATAATTCACGGGTTTGTATATCACTGAATGTTGGTCGCGAGTGGTAATTAACTAAAATTATAGCTATGATGACTAATTAACTAGTATATGTTTGCTTAACCATGTAATTTTCCCTAAAATAATAAATACCAAGTTGAATGAGATAATTGATAAGGTGGATATCTAGATTAATTAAGTTTGAGATAAAATTTATATTGTAATATATAAATTTATCCCTGAAATATCTCACATTATCCCGCATACCAAACAACCGTTAGAGTATTTATCTTTTAGTATAGGAACATAGTTTATAGTGTAGTATTTATTTTTCAAACAAAAAAATGGAGGGAGCTTTGCAAGCTCCAATAATTGATCTTAGGTCTATAGATCTCACTGATTCACTCAAGAAGGTACATTCTATACTCTTTAAATTGATTCAATCAACAAATTAAAGTAGTAAAAGTTGCAATGCTAAATGATGAGAACATTTGTTTGTAGGCATGTATTGAGAATGGATTTTTTTACCTCATAAATCATGAGGTAGAAGAAGATTTGATTCGACGAGTTTTCGATGGAAGCAGAGGATTTTTCGATCTATCAGTTGGAGAGAAGATGAAGGTGCTTCGCAAGAATCATAGAGGATATACACCATTTTATGATGAGAAGCTTGATCTTGTTGACAATCCTAAAGGTTCTTTCTACTTTCATCCTTATGTTAGATATAGATCTATTTGTTATTTAAGTTGAAAATCTTTCGAAAATAGTTTCTCTAACTTCACTTGATTATAAGGTTGTGTACGCTCTATCTTCTCTAGTCTCTAGACCTCACATGTGGGACTATACTGAATATGTTGTTGTTGAGTTAGTGATGATTTAGGCACTCCTTGTTGCATTTTATCTTAACATTTTTCACTTTTTATTTCGTTGCAAAAAAAATATACTTTTATTTATAACAATTTGAATGTTAAGCTTTAGATCTTTACTCTTAATGACATGAGTTTATAGCTAGTGGCGGAGAAAGAATTTTAGTTAAAGGGGTTCAAAATTATACAGAAGTAAATACACGAGGAGATTCAATATCTACTATATGTAAGTAAAAAGAATAATTTATCCTTATATACACATTTAATAGAAATGTTATTATATGCTCTTCCCGTTTGTCCAAACCTTGATACATGTAAGCATCCGATACTTGGTGGAGGTAGTAGACTAATAGTATCTTGTACAACTAGTCGAGGTGCGTGCTAGTTGATCTTGACACCGTTCTTTCTTTTGCTCATTTACTTTACCTTTGAATTGGATTTCAGGGGATCCAAAAGAAAGTATCTATTTTGGAGCACCTGAAGACATATCACCCTATGGTAATCTAAATCAGTGGCCTCCCGAAGGTATATATCCATACTCTTTCTCAATTTTGTGACAGATTTTTCAGTATAGATTTATATAATCGATCCCAACTTGTACAAGATTGAGGCGTAGTAATTATTATTTGCTTGATTTTCTAATTAATAGGAGTATATTGTTTCACTTAAGTATGTCATGTTTTTGTTTTTGGACATGTAGAAATTTTGCCATGTTGGAGATCTACAATGGAAGAATATTACAGAGTTATTCTGTAAGTATCAACTCTCTTATATTTACATAAATTTGTCTCGGAAACAATGTCTTTACTTTCACAAGATAGGAGTAAGGTTGCGTATGCACCACTTTCCCCTGACCCTACTTGTGTTATTATACTGAATACGTTGTTTTTTTGCTGCTAATTAGGAATCTTGGTAAAAGAGTACTCTCACTCATTGCTCTAGCTTTGAATGTGAACGAAGATTTCTTTGAAAAAGTTGGTGCTTTTAATCCTCCGGGGGCTCTTCTTCGTCCTATGCATTATCCAGGTAAGGCAATTTCGAGATCTTATTTGATGGCTTCACTTCCTGTAAAATGTTTTATAGAACCGGAGATGTCATGACATGTTTGAGACCACAAATTTCACGTCTTTTTTCTTCTTTAGTACACTCGGTGCCCAGTGAATTAAAATGTGTCATTTAAAATGAAATAGAAGGAACATTTAACTGATTCTTCAGGCAAATTAAATACTAGTAGTACTTTGTTATTATCAGTTGCAGGTGAAATAAACTATTGTGATCAATATATGCATGGTTGTGGAGCTCATACAGATTATGGAATGATAACTATCTTAATCACCGATGGTGTTCCTGGACTTCAGGCACGTTAAAAAGAGTTAGATTTTTCTCGGATGGTCACTCAACTAATAATAGTTATTCTCTTAGAAAGTCACTTTTTTTATTGAAGGAAATTGAAATAAAGAAAAAGTGACTTTCTGAGATAATAAGGTTGTGGCGAAAAAGTATTGATAGTTCTAACATTTCAGTTGGATTCTGTTTTTATCAGGTTTGTAGAGATAAATTACAGAAACCCCAGATTTGGGAAGATGTGCCTCAGTTGAATGGGTACTTATATCTACCATACTTTACTAGGATTCTTTAAGGGTCGTTTTGTTTACATATTAGTTAGTTATGCAGAGATTAATTATAACGAAGGGGATTATTATATTGTTTGGCAAACTATATGATGTTACATGAAAAAATAAATGCATTTTCGATCGGATTACTTTAAACTTGAAATTTGCCAATTTGCAGGGGTTTCATTGTTATTGTTGGAGATATGATGGAAAGGTGGACAAATTGTTTGTTTAGGTCAATATATCACAGAGTAACAAAGCCAGAACAAGAACGTTATTCGGTATCCAACATCCTCTTAACATGTTTTTCGTCTCCGTCTTCGTAGGGATCCTAAATTTGAATCCTCATTAAGGTTTTTCTTGTTAATGTTTTATATTGACTTATTAATCAGGTAGCGATGTTTTTCGATCCAAGTCCAGATTGTGTTGTGGAATGCTTGAATAGTTGCTGCAGTGAATCTTCTCCTCCTAGGTATTCAACTTGCATTATGTATGATTTATAACTCATTACTAAATATTCAACCAAATTGTGTTGTTTTGTTCAATTCTTTTTACTTTCTTGAAAGTATATATTTGTTGTGATTTGTTAAACAGGTTTCCTCCAGTTAGAGTGGCAGACTACTTGAAGGAAAATTACAACATTACATATGGCTACCAGTGTAAGCATTTTTTTTGACAATGTTGTATCAGAAGCCTACCATCAACTTCGCGAAAATTACCTCTACCAACTCGTCCTCTACCTCTGATATTTTGACCTCTTTGATTTGTATCAATCAGTCGGATTTGATGTTTCTTCTTTTAAGTTTGCATTGTATGTTAATTCATGGACATCTCGTATATCACCAATTCATTTTTCTTATTCATCAAGTGTCGTAATAGTGCTAAGATATATAATTGGTAGCATCATGTGAAATTTTATACTAAATTAGGACTTCAACAACTTTATATTGGTCTAATATTTCTTCATTAATCCTCGTACTGAACTGACTAATTCAGATTCAAATCAGGTAGGGCTACACAAAGGATTGACTTTTATTTGTTTTGCTGCAGAAATATGTGCAACAAAAATATCACTGAGGAAGAGATGAGAACTGGTTAATTTGTTCACCAATTTTCTTAAATATTGAGGAGCTTTTTATGTGTGCCAAAAAATAATAATATGGAACGGTTTGACTTTTAGACCATTAATTTTATCGAGTCGCTCTACTAAAAGGGAGGGACGTTACGTTTATTTGTTTTTCTTTCTTTACGTGAAATTCATGTGTACTCACTCTACACATTCAGATATTGCATGAAACATCTAGTTTTTGGTCCTGTAAATTGTAATATGGTCTCCACTTTCTTTACTTCAGTTATTATTTGAACTTATCTTATATTTTATAACCTAAGCTAACAAGATAATTGTGTTTATGGCAATATCTAGATAAGCTTTCTTTTTAGATCCTTATCCAGACTGCATTGCATGCGTCCTGGAATAATGTATTGTACACGTCAGCAACAAGTTAGTTAGTTTAGCTCATAGATTATAGCTATATATTGTTAATCACCTAGAATCATTTAGTTGATTAGTTGTATAAATAGTTGTTTGTTCATTGTTATCAGAACTCACTTTGCATTCTATCAATAATATCATAGAAGCTTTCTCCTCTCAATTCTCTCTAGCTCCACTAATGGAGGCTCGGTAGTATCCACCATTTCAGGTGTGTTCTGTTCCTCTACTTTACAGTCTCAACATAATGCTTTGATTTTTTATCCTCACCATATAATTAATTAACTTTTGAGTCGAATTAGATCCAACGATTCATTTTCTTAATGAACATAAAAGATGGTTGTCAATTACGATGGAAGTGTTTTCTTTTATATTTGCCAGTATACACTCTGGTAAATCAAATCGGAAGGTGTATTCGATAAGCAAGCTAAAAAATATTCATTGATTTTCTCATATTTGGAAATTATATTATTTTTAATATTTGGAGGATATAAGATCAGAATTTTTGGAGGGGAGCATTGTACCTGACCTTAATTTGGATTCATGTTACTTTTGGTTACTCAGCAAATGGGGAGAAGGTGCCAGAATTTTTAGTAAGTGTTGAAAATATGAAAAGTAAATATGTAAAGAAATTAAAGGAGTTTCTACGTATACTATATATATATTGTCTTTAAATAAATTGAGAGTATAATAAATAAAAAATATTATCTTTTCTTGAAATGTCAAATGAAAAGTCAAAATCGGACAAGTAAGAAAGGAAAAGGAGTACCAATATCCCAACATTTTTGGAACTACTCTTGCGGAAAATTATTAAATTATTTTTCAAATGTATGTAGTTTAATTTTTCAGTTTGAAAACAAAAGTAGATCTGTATAACAATTCCGTACTATCTTCTTTGCAACTTGTTTTTATGTCTCAAATCTCAATGAATATGATATTGAAAATTGGACCAGATTCATTGCATCCTTGACTAAAAGTAAAGAAAATTGTACAAAATTCTATTTAGATAATAGTCTCCCTTTTATCTTTTTGCCAGACTATTAAATTAAATATATTTGTGGTGAGCAGTGGAGCCAGAAATTTGGTGATGGTATGTATAAATTTTCTTTTAGTTGTATTAAAGATGGGCAAAAACAAATATATATTCATAATAACTAATTACATTGTACACCACATAATTACCTAATGAAAGTTATACACCGAACTATCCTTGATCGATCATGACTCCGCTCTGATGAGATCAATTCTTTTTCTTGAATTCGAATTTGTGACATCATAATTCAAATAAACATCTCTTGATTATTAAATGGTAAGAAATAGAAATTTATCCCTACTTGATCTTTAATTACACCATATCAATAATTAAATGCAAGATATGTATTTTGTACACATATTTCTCATGTAATTTCTGTTAAGTGGTACATATTTTTTTTATATAATTAAGTTTTAAACTCTAAGTTTAAATTACTTTATTTGGTGTAGTTACAGTAATAGAGCCATAAATTTTTATTAAGAATATTTAATATATATATATATATAT